AATAAATAAACTAAATAATAATATATATATATATATATATATATATATATATATATATATATATATATATATGTATATATATATATATATACATATATATACATATATATATATATATATAATTATATATATATTCTGTGACTGTGGCTGTGGCTGTGGCTGTGTTCATACCAACGCCTAGGCATTTTCACAAATATTGTTATTCTATACATGCATGGCTGCATAGGTACTATTCAAGAGGAGGCTGTGCAGGAGATCTGGAAAAACGTGCAGAAACGCTTTCCTAAAGGGTTAGAGTACAATGATCTATGGCGCATGAAGAGCCGGGTAGTCTACGGCGAGGTAGGTTTTCGTTTGAGCATGAAGGCTGCGCAGTGGACACCCATTTTCAGTAAAGCACATACGTAGATAGAAGAATGCTTATAGAATTTGCATCCCTTTGTGTTTGAGGTATGTGCGCACATAGTCGTTCATTTTATGTCCGTACGTATATACATGAATATGTACCCATACAGAAGGTGTGGTTATCTAACAATTCTGTGTATCTCCTGTAGGTATGACATACGGACGATGTAACATTGTCGTACACGAGTGAGTATCATTATGTTTGTTGCCAAGTGCACATTTAGTTCACAGAGTGCCCTCTGTTTTTATAATTCATCGTCAGTCGGACGTGCCAGTGGTGTTAACGTTTGGCTGCATGATATTAGAAGGTTTGCACTATTGAGGGTAGTCTCGGGGTTATGTTTATATGCTTAACGCACTAGCTCAGTTTATCTCTCTAACTGTGTGTATTATTCCTTCGCTACACTGTCGTATAATGTATTGTTTCACTGCCTGTTCTTATTCAATTCCCTTGAAGTTGAACCCTCCAATCTATTCTTCCTCTTACAATTGCTCCTCTAGCTATTCGTATACTAATCTCTCAATGCCAAGCCCTCCAACCTATCCCTCACTTGTTAACCTAATGTTAAGGTCATTGTTTCTCTAGCTATTCGTATACCAATCTCTCAATGCCAAGCCCTCCAACCTATCCCTCACTTGTTAACTCGATGTTAAGGTCGTTGTTTCTCTAGCTATCCTACGTGATTTCCTCTTTGTTCCAATCCATTCCCATTCATAGCCTTCTAAACTATACAATTTTTTTTTAATTTCTTTGCAGACCCCAAATCTTTAATGTAGATCGCCGCGAGATCTACCGCCAACAGAATTGATTTTAAGAATGGGACCAAAAAGAAATCTATGACTCGGTATTCAAATGTTGTTTTTTTTAAATATAAATACGACGATACTCACAGCTGGGCAGCCTGGTTGTTATCGTTACGTTGAACAGTATATAAAATGAATATCTTCGGTTGCATGTGATACTACCAGCTGAATAGCTAGCATTGTTATTCCAATTGGAAACGATGTTTCTTGCTGGGATGGTTAGAATACATACTGTTGTGTATACGTTCTACATGGCACGGGTGTACGTAATGGTATGTACCCACATAGTGTAGTGGTGGGATGACAAGCCTATATAACATTGTGTGAAAGGAATGTTTATAGCTAAGAAATTTGATCTTTATACGGTTGATGTATACAACCTGTGTATTGTTGAGGAGATGTCGTCCGTTTATCGTTGTAGTTTGCACAATGCTGTATAATCGATGTGTATTTGGTGGTACGCTGACAGCTGCTGTCATTCAAATCGCGAGGATGGTATTAAATAGTCCACTCTTCTTTTAAAAATAAAACCACTGATGCATCCGGTGCACTGTTTGGATATCCATTTTAGCCTCGCAATCGATTTTGATGGAGTGCTTTGCCGCACTGAAATATGTACACAGGTAAGAAAAATGCAGTTATGTGCGAACTCCTGTACAGATCCACCTCGATCCTTTTGTTGTAAACACTATTTTTTGGCCAACCCTAGGGTTTTAAACCCGCCACTATAAGGACAAGTTCAAAGTTTGTTTAATTGATTTACAAAATCAGCAACACTTGCGGATGTGTACTTATACTTGCGAGTGGGTTATTTAAATTTAAAATGCTACTCCTTAAATAGTAGCTGGGGTTCTATACCCATGATCCATATCCGGAACATCATTGCCGATTTCTAGTTCACTTCGCGAGTTCTATCATCAGATGTTCTGTAGTCATCGTAGGCACGGCCTCGGCGGGATTGGTCTTGTTGAGTATATGCGTCGCCAGTTGGTAGTACTTGCTATAGCAATTCTCACAGAAGATACCCAAAGCACCACACGCTTGACACTGTAGGTCAACATCCATGGAAAACTGTATCATAGCCTTCTGCACCTCTACGTGCACATTGACACTGAATGCCCTCTCCCGGTTCTCTGCATCAGCACAGTACATCCACAGCGCCGCACACGCTCTGAACTGTATATCGCGGGGTGTGCTATACCGTTGCATAGCAACCTGTACATCCAGGTGCAAATTGGCTTCCCCGGCTCGATGGGTGCTCTCCAGGTTCAGGCACAACTTGGCCAGAGCCCCACACGCGCTGTACACTACGTTTCTATCGGTAATGTGGTGTCTCAAGGCCTGTTGTATACTTAGATGCGTATCACTCTGTCCCGCTTTAACCCGGTTTGCATCCTCCAGACAGTAGTGCCCCAATGCACACAGTGCCTCTACCTGCAGGTCAGCATCGTGGGCGTGCTCGCTCATAGCGCTCTGAATCTCTTGGTGCAGTTCCGCTTGTCCGCAGGCAGCCACGTTCCGGTTTTTACCGGTATTGAGTGTGTGGGTCTCCTCCTGAGCGCTATGGGTACTACAACCGTCCATATAGTTCTGCAAGGCCCAGCACGCCTCGTACATGACACTACACTCCATACTGAACTCCTGCATGGCTTTCTGAACGTCCAGGTGTATACTGCACGCGTGCCCACACTCTCTGGTGGCGTCATTATCCACCATCAGATTACCCAACACGCTACAGGCATACTCCTGGATCTCCATAACATGCATGCACTGCTGCATACAGGACTGTACCAGTGTAATGGTGTCGCTCGACACTTGTTGCACACTGCTGCAGTTGCTTTCCGTGTAGCCTTTCAGGGCCAATAGCCCAGCCTCAATGAGATCTCTCTCATCGCGAACATCATCAGCGCGTTTATCACATCTGAGTGTAAACCCCGTTTACCAGCCGCGGTTCGGTTCGCGGCGTTAGTTAACGCACACGCCAAGACCATACACGCGCCATACTGCACTACGAGATCGTCTGTGTAAGTACACATGGCCCTTTGAATTTCAATAAATAGACCGGATTCTCCTAACATTTGCAACTGTTGCTGAGAAGCATTGGCACATGCATTCTGCAACATCCACAATCCCTCCTGCTGAACGGTGACTTTATCGAAAGTTCTGAGTGCATGCTGGACATCCACGAGTGCACATATGTCCTCAAAGACATGTTTACTCTCCGCATCGCTTCCTTGCATACAAAGAGTGCCCAGAGCACGCATAGCACTGGCTTGCACTTCAGCGTTACTTGTGTGTGCCTGCATAGTCTGCTGTATACTTCTATGTATTGTACCTTCTCGTGTATTAGCAGCTCCTACTGCCATCATCGCTCTATTCTCTTCCTCGAGCATATAGCACTCCATGGCGCCACAGACGCTCAGCTGTATCTCGACATCCTCTCGAAATGAGTCCATTATCGCCTGTAGTTCATTGTGTGCCTTGATGGAACCTGCATGCATCCGGTTGGTCGGATCCAGACAGATATTACACGTTGCTAAGCAACGCTTGTGTTGTAGCTCCTTCTCGTTCGGAAACTTTTGCATTAGCATCTGTAGATCGTCGTGAAAAAGTGCCCTACACGCTCTGGCTCTATTGCTTTCTATGCGACAGTATAGTTTAATCGCCTCACACCCACTCTCTTGAATCTGCACATCCTCCGCAAAGGTGTGCATTAGCTTCTGGATAGCCTCGATGCTGTCCAGCTCCTTATATCCCTCGAAGTTGAGCCGTTTGTGTGGGAAGTCAGGATGTTTCATAATAACTTTTAGTAGATGCCTCCCCTCTTTATGAGGTACTCGGTAACCTCTGTATTTGTGTTCTTATGCTTGCGATTCACTCGTGTACAGAATCGGATATCTGCAAGATTGAATGTAGGCACAGGTGGCAGTGTAGTGTGCGCTAGGTAGTTTAAGGGTATGCGGAATAATGTACTATTAGTGATATCGCTGGTGCATATGGCCCAGTTGGCACTTTGAGACAACACACGAACGTGCGTGCCTTCGGGTATGTTGTCATGTTCGTAGATAGTTCTCATAATATACATGTCTGCCATGCTCTCCAACGGATGTTGTTTGAACGGTGATGTATAAATTTTCGGTATAACGTTGTATCTACAACTTGATAACGTTGTATCTACAACTTGATTGTGTGCTAAAAAGTAATTGTGTTCGAGATTATATATACTATGCGAATCGTGTACATATCTAATTGCTAATATGCTTCGTTCGCGTATATTTTCATATTTACATTACATACACGAGTTTTGAAGCTACTAAATTTAGAGCCGTAAGCCTGTATTTACCTCTCTACTCTCGAGTCTCGAACTCTCGACCGTCGACCACGCACAGCGGCACAGATCAGTTTCTTTTTTAAAATACGCCCATTCAGATGATGGATGATTGTGTAGAAAGATCGATCCAGATTCTACGGCTTTAATTCAAATAATATTTATGTATTTATAGTTGTCACAGACGTCACACGGTCACAGTCTGTCACTGCGAGTTAGTGTGAGACTGTGAGTCAGAGAGTCTACACACTTTTATTTTATTTAAAAAAATTACAAAACGTTACAACATCCAACTGTAAATGCCGACAGTCCGACAGTCTTTCAGTCCAACATCCATGACTGTTCGAGAAAAGAAAAAAAGCGAAATTCCCATTGATTCGAGAATTTTTAGCCAATAAATTTACAAGTTTCACAATTCGTGGATTCTGGTGGAAGCACAATAGCACACGCAAGGCCGCAACTCTAAAGGCGCAAGGCTCAAAGTCTCAGAAGAAAGATGTGAATTACTTCCCCCAAATACTTATAAAATACTACCGTACAATTAAGTTCCGTGTACAGAGCTCCATAAAGATGTCCATTTGGTTGCAGCTTGAAGCCATTATTAGAACAACAAACCTGTCCGACTAGATCACCGCTCCCCTGTGGTGTCAGCCAATCTGGTTATTTTTCTATGCCATCAAATACTGACCATAACACATTATGTTATTAAAATGAAGAGGAGGAAAGACATCTTATATGGTTATAAATATCATTGAATTTTCTGATGATGTATCGTATGTGGGCAATATCATCATGTTGAATTCTGTGTATGTCGAGCCAGCAAGCTGAAGTAAGACATTTGACTTAATTGCAGGCAATATACCACCTTCATATTGTCGTCTGTATATGCCTCATACTGATGATGCAAGTACACTAGCTTACATAGCATTATTTGCCAGCTAAATGGGTTTGTGATTATATTCATCTGGGGAAACTGAAACAGTACATACAGTAATCCTCTGGAGTATAGTACAAGAAGTATAGGCAATATTTTGGGAGTTTTGAATGGTACAAAAGTAAACTGGAAGAGTTGAAATTATATATATTATTAATAGATATCACTTGTTTCGACTCATTGTAATTCGAGTGTTTCGAAACCACGTCATTAATGATTATAAATAGCCATAAATTGTTTAATTTAGGATTTTAGAAGGCTATGGTAAAAATTAAAAATATTTATAGCTGAATGCGCGCCATCTGAACTTGAAAACCTGAAGCCCTGAAGCCTGAAGCCGAAGGTTGAACTTTCTGTAAATACTTCCTTTGAAGTTCTGAAGTTAACTCGGGCAAAAAGTGGAATGTAGGATTTGTTCACTTTGTTCAACACACCTCTTTTCAATTCGGGCCATTTCCCATATTTTAGTGTTTGTATAATAATAAAATTTAAACCCCTGTCAGTTTCCATTGGTACATTTTGCATGCTTTTTTGTTTTCGTTTATTTTTTTAACAAAATGTAAAGAATACAAAAAAATATTCAGTGTTGATAAAAATACAGAAGTAACTCTAATGAAACACAGCTATTTTACTATGAAAATACACAACAATAAGCTGGGCTGGTTTAAGACAGCATTTTCCACATGACATGTTAAGACCGTCGGAAACTACTTCATTATGACGACATGTCTTGACGTCGTCTTTAATTACAGTCAGAAGCGCGGTATACGTCATGATATTCTCTTATGAAGACATATCGAGACGGGTCGGAAACTAGTTTGCTAAATAAACGTCTGTCGTATACCACCAGGCCAGACAATAAGTAAATATGTATTTTTGTTTTGAAAAAGCCAATAAATGAGCTATGACACTCTCGACCACTCCGACTCCTATTAAAAAATATATATATATAAAGCAGTAGCAAGAGGACAGAACAATTGAAACATTGGTACGGGTGGACCGTCTATTTATTTCTTAAAACAAAAAGCATCTTTTATCTTTTTAGGGTTTAAAAAGTTTACCGTCATCATTCTGAGCACCATCCGTGATCAGAGACTCAGAGTTCAAAGTTTAGACCTGACAGCTGACGGCCTGGCCCCTACTCACTCTCTAGTCACTACTGTAGTCATTGCAGTCCGTACAGTGAGTGCAGAGTGGCAGAGTGCCGACAGAAGTTAGCAGAACTGCAGGAGTGAAGCTGTAAAAAAATATTGAGGAAGTGTAGTCAGTTGTAGATTGCAGTAAATAGAGTGCATTGAATTTACATAGAAGACGACAGACGTGGATGAGCATTTTTCTTATTTTATCGCGGTTTTTTGTTTTTTGTATTGTTTTGCTTATGTAAAACAAAATACAAAACTTCAACAAAAAAAATGTGCTTGAAATTGCGCAAACAGACGTACCTATTTACATGTTACCAAATATGAAATAACCTCAAGTACAGACTTCGGATATCCATTCTCGCGCACAATGCACACGTATATCGGGACAGTTTAAATCTATATAATACACATATTGGTATTTATTGTAAATATAGTTATAGGCTGGATTATTACATAGAGATTATGGGCACTGGAGTATACGAAGACGATGGAGAGAGCAAATTGCGGGTGAACGAAGAGGTGCAATCGGGTGACAGCAGTGGCTCTGAATGTACGGAAGTTACCTGTGTCGTACCTTCGAGCTGTATTTATATACATAGAGTACGGGTTCTGCGTATATGCGTAGTTGCGGTTCTAGTTTACTGCTTGATAACGAGGAAAGGGAATTATGGTCTATTCGACACAAGTAGTATAGCCATAGATACTCTCAAGCCCTCTTTAGACTCGCAATCGCATACAGGGTCAGCTAGTGCGGATCCATTAGTGCAAGCAAATATCTTCTTTCAGTCTTCGTATACCTATACGAAAGAGAGTATCACACCGGATGTGATACTGTATAACCAGGGCTATAACTTAGTTCTGGCCAGAAACGGCTCAGTCGTGCGCACACAGTCGTTCATACCAGCTAGCGTGACGACCTTGAAGAATGTCGCGCACATACCCTTGTCATTGTACTTACACTGTGTGCGTGTGGTGAAGCGATTGGACAACTTGAGACAGTTCCCACACAGCACTGGTACGGATGGTGCTGAGCACCCAACGGGTGCTGACTCATCAGAAATAAGTGGGAGCTCGCATATGATAGAAAGTAGGGATGCTACACAACATACAGACGATAAGAGTATGAATACACAAGGGGACGGTAGTCTAATGGGCCGCAATGCTGAGGATAGCCTGAAAAGTATAGAGGACCAAGAGTCTGGTGCAGTATATGAGCACAGTTTACGTATCCTTACAAGCGAAGAAAGGCAGTTCTTACTGGACTTCAGGGATGTGTTGCATGGCGTTGATTTGGAGTCGCCATCTCACGCAACTGTTATTAATAGCACACAGAAGGAGAGGCAGATGCAAATTATGGAGATGTCGCGTGCGTTTCTTGAACAGTTGTTGGCTGCCGATAAGTGGGGCTCTGCCGAGTTCTTCACACTCGAGACTATACATACATACACGGAAAGTGTAAAAGAAATGCTTCGTACTAATACCTTCGAGGCTGCTGGTGATCTTATCAATGATCTGCACGGCGTGTTAAGTAGTTGGGTGGGGTTGGATACCAATAGCACGTGCGTAGACGACCCAAGGTGTATCACCCAGAGTGAGATACGCAACGATGTGCATGTTCTGGTGTATGGGAACCACATGGCCAAGAAAGGATCCCTTCTGGCTGTATATTTCACTGAGTTGCTGAAAGCACCCAATAAGAACGGAGATTTCGAGTGCTTCGGCGCTAGATTTGTGAGTGATACGAACATGAAGGGGCTGCCAGATCGGCCTAAAGACGGGGTATTGAATAACTTCGCTACACATCATGCGGATGCAAGCCTAGGTGATGCGTTTGGGTTCAATATGCACAGAGATATACTCGAAGAAGGTGCGATTGCCGCGACGAGAGATTTGGACTGGGGTGGTATAATTGGCGATTGAATGTATTGCGGAGCGATATCCAGATACAAATCTAGCGAGTAATTAGTCTCTTCGAATACAATAGTTCATGCTGTGATCGGCTTATAGTCGAGGTTTACGAATCATTTCGCCATACATCATGCGGGTGCATTCCTGAGCGACGCGTTTGGGTTCAATTCGCACAGAGATATAATCGTGGAAGATGCGGCTGCTGCTACGAGTGAGTTGTATTGGGGTGATTCAAATGGGGATTGAGCGTGACTTGCTACGATTTAAGGAGCCAAATCCAGCGATCATCCGGCAAGTCAAACATCAATTACTATGAATTATGGTGTTTGACTGCCCAGGAGCCGCAACGGAGTACACTATGAAGGTAAGCTACTGAGAGCGAGTGCTGTAGTTGCCGTACAGATGTTGCATTGGGATGACACGACGGGCATTGATATGACTGAATTGGTATATTGTATGCCGTGGTTAAACCACGTGGGGACGAGCATCGTTAACGGCTAGCCACGTGTTCAGCGAATCTTCGAGAGAGTCGGGTCATCATCACAACTTTTCTTACGTCGGCAGCATAGTTCACAACACGTGGCGCGTATGCAGGGTATATCTCTGTCAGCAGTATACGCCCTCCGGAAACGATACTCTCAGATTTTTAAGGCACATTCAACAGGACTACACCACACCCTTTTTAAGTACACAGGCAATCGCTGATATTTCCTTGTCTGGAACTCCCGCCAAATAAGCCTTGGGCTACAACAGCCGCGAACTTCGGTTGGATAGTACAATAGTTCTACACTTAATCCATAGTTGCTGTATGCGTTGTTTGGCACAATGCCAAGCAAACACATACGCCAAATAGGCGCATGGTAGTTTTGATATGTGTGTGTCAGCAGTGCCATGGGACCAGCACCACAATGCTTCCAACGGTTGATCTGCTGTGCATTTGGACTCGTAGTATTAGACCTAAAGCCCACTTCAATGGTATGATAGGAGATGGTACTATAGATATGATTGGAGATGGTGCTATAAATAGAGGGCACACCTGAAAAATCATGGTCTGTAGTAGTATGTACTAAAACTAAGCACACTACCCCGCGGTTACGATATGAGTTAGAGACTACATCACTGCCCACAGAATGCAGAATTCGAGACTGTGCTCTAAAGAAGAGTCGTCAAGGAGTCCGTCAGCGCGGGTTTATAAATTCAAAGCTATAACATTGACTATGGTTACCACAGAGTGTGCATCTAAACATGTTATTGCACTACCCCATGATTTGCATAAAGGTAAAAGGGCTCCAAATACTTGATCTACAAACATAGTGACCGATCCGAAATGTGCAATTGACTACACCGCGGAAAGGTTGCATCTTGAAACTTCAGTTTTTATTAATTGCGGAATGTACAATACTGATTGTGAGTGGCTTCAATTGACAGAATATATATATACGGACTATTCACCAATGGTGCGTTTTGCGCCCACAGCTCGCACGGAGTTGGTGATTTGTTATTCATGCGCCGTAAGATTGGTTATGCCACGCGTGATGTATTTGTGTGACCATACACAATTGTATATTGCATACACACACGTGTGCAAATCCTGGCACCACTCAACATAGAACATGCGCGTGTAATGGTAGAGAAGCAGTTCGGCAAAATAGGAATTTGGAATGCATATGCTGTTGGTATGTGCGAGACTCAGACTCGCCTACTAATACGCGATAGATAATTTCGATAAATATTTATGACACCCACACAGTCATGACTCACGCATTGTTGACGCCATGCTTTGATGTTTATTTTATAGGATGCATTGGGGAGTTACTATAGGACACAAGTTGGTATAAGAAAAAATGGGTATGGAATACGGTTTACTGTGAATATTGAAACAGTATCTTCATGGTGACAGTGTATTCAATGGTTAGAAACGCTGTCTCCATTTGCGGTGTCCTTGCGTATACATATATCGAACAGTTGCTTCACACGGCACTATTAATAAGCTGAGATTACATGAAGAAATTTGAAGATCAAATTAGTGGAGTATGTGCAGCTAGACCAATAGCTGTAGCCAGCATTTATAGTGCGATTGAAGAATTCTAGGGTATACATTATTAGCCATACCTGCATACTAGCCCACCTGTTTACATCAGCATTTGCACTCAGTCTACAAAACCAAATAAACTTGTCAACACGCTACATTCGCAGCGTCAATCGCTCGTTTATTTCATCAGGTTCATTTTTCTTTAGAGTATTTTTTTGTAATCTTTCAGTCTGATCAATTCGGAAGGAGTGGCCCTGTACTAGTCTTGGTGCTTCGCTCATGTATATGTATAACCGACTACCCACTGGGTGATATTACATGACGGTTTCTCCCCGGCTTTTTAAACCCATATGTATGCAAGCATTTAAGTCCACATGCTATGCAGGCATTTAACTCCACATGCATATTCATTCTATGCAGAAAATATACGCATACGTCTGCGCAAGCTTCCCAGCAACTGGTGTGCGTGTAATTGCGTCGTGCCCGACCATGCATACGCACTGCCAGAACCATCCAGTGGCTATATCACGGATACAGTCCATAGTCTGGGCGTACACACGTCATTGGTCGCATTTCACACAGATACGGCACGCGAGTATGAGTCCACGTTTGCCAAGCGCAGCATCTACCGCTGGTGTTGTTCTGCATCATCGCCGATGTCGGGCATTGACAGTAACTATCACGTAGTCGCACATTCGACAGCTGTATCTCTTGGACTATTCATGTACGGATATACTTGTGCCATTTAATAGCCTGGAATGGTTGAATTTGTTTGGGCGTGCACAACAGGTCCTCTCCGCGTGCTCAGCATATGCTGTCCAACCATGTGTCATGCATATGCTTCCTCTATAGAGCCGTTTATGGACTATAGGGTAAGGGCGCCGCAGATGCGCGTCAGTGCGTGTGATTCAGGATGTATGGACATAGTAGGTTCGGTCTCTCAAACTATAGGCAGTGTGGTTCAGGATATATGGACGTAGTAAGTTCGGTCTCTCAAACTATAGAGAGTGTGGTTCAGGATATATGGACGTAGTAAGTCCGGTCTCTCAAATTACAGGCAGTGTGGTTCAGGATATATGGACGTAGTAAGTTCGGTCTCTCTCAAACTATAGGGAGTGAATGAGGCGTATCTCACAAGCATGGAGGCGGACCTCATATTGTATACTGCGTAGTTTGTATCATCCATCTATTAGTTGATGCTTGCGGGAGTGAATGAGGGCTCATTCGCAAGTGTGTTATAACCCACACAGTCTGAACGCATCTCCATACGGGACGTACGGAAATGAACTGATCCGTATCTGTAGCTTGCGCAGATTGCACTTGAGAAGTGTGGGTGTTCTCTCGAGAGTCTGTCTCCAAGATCCGTGCAGACAAACGCCTTCGGATTGACATGTTCCGTGGGGTTCACCAGATACATTATTCGTTTATGACAAGTGGAACGATCCGGTGCCTTCGACGATAGCTGTCTGGAGTTTATGAGCCAAGATCTCCTCACTGGTGTAGTCTACAGATGAACGACAATACAATTGTTGCGATCAGGAAAAAACAATGAAAGCAGAAAGAGTTTAAGTGAAAAGATACCCCCATACGAAAACACAAGACCAACCCAAAAGTATATTGGGTAACAAAATCCAGTACTCTAAAACCCAAAACAGATATACATAGAATATACATACCAACCCAAAAGTATACAGGGTAACAAGATTTAAAACTCTATACCCCAAAACAGATAAATGTAGAATAAACATAGTGTTTGATCCCGTGAGAGGCTTGCACATTCACAGTGGCAAAATAACTATTATAACTAACACATAATTAAAGTACGTCTCGGCCTTTAATGTGGTATTTGATTTAACTTCATGATGGTAAATGCATGTAATATCCGTACTTGCTTACATATCCGTGTCTGTACACGACTAACAAACATATACCAACTACCAATATCACACAAAATACTCTATGGAATAGTCGTGGGCCTCGCAAAATGTACTTTCATTTCACATTTCCAATAATTTCGACTATACGTAATAGCTAATGGTGCCGAATAGAAGCAAAATCCAGTACATGTTGAGCATACTAAACAGAGGACAAAGTGTATATATATATATATATATATCTATATATATATATATATATATATATCTGTATTATGTATATG